GGCAATTTGATTATACGGCCCTCAAGCGCCAACCCACAATGTCCCACCTTAACAGAAGCCGAGAAAGGACTAAGAAAATCTCGCGCGGGACGTGAAATCCGAGCACCGGAAAGACTTAATCTCTGATGCTTGCTTTAGTAATTATTATTAGCATGATACATGAACGCTGGACAGAAAATCCCTACATATTCTAATGTTATTCATTGTCAACGTATATACAAGATACGTGTACCTGAGACATTGACCGGAATGATTATTTTGTTTTTGTTTGTTTTCATTTCAACTAACATAGTTTTTTTAGAGAAGGGGATGTAGCATATTGGCACATGAGAATTAGCACCTATTGTATATTATATTTCGTGTACGCATATTTAAGTAGGATAGCACATTATGCAAAGCCAGAAAGCACACACATCCACGCGGTGTCTATGAACAACCAGAATAAACCTATTCGACAACACACTACACATACCAAAAATGGTTTTTATGTTACCATTTACCATGTGGTCTTAAGAAATAAATGTGTTTGCTTTTTTGTATGTAAAGGTGAATTCTAAGAAAATCTCTGAAGAAATGTCCTTTCCTTCTTTTTTCAGAAAATGCTGATGTCAGCATTTTTGTTGAGATTCAAGGCTACTTATCTCGAAAAAATGCGAGGCTACCCCCGCTTTTCTTTGTGGATTCAAATAGCCCTTGCAAAGATCTTCTTTTTCCGCATGGTCCTAATCTGGCGCAAAAACCTTTGCATTTAGTAGGCACCGTCCTTAAAACTGTATCTATAAGTCCTGTTCATCATAGCTTGATTAACTCTTGGACTTACAGGTTCAAATTATTCCTTGCAGGATTTTTCCAACGATCCCCTAAACGGACTGTTAAATTTTAACCATTCCTCATCGAGGATTGCAAGAGAAATCATCTTGGGAAGACCATCAATTAAGTGTAGAATGTCGTGTTATCGTGATTAACATAAACTGGAGTGAGTGTGTAGAGCGAGTAGTTAGTGGTGAGGAGCAACGAGAAAAAATGGGGTTTGATCATCAAGAAAACTCCAAAACCTTTAGATTTCCATACGCTTTGAAGCCATCCAAAACTAAGTTTGAGTAATGACAGCAGAAAGTTCATTTGTTTGGTAATGACGTAGGGCTCTTCGTTCTTGAATCTTTGCTAGCTGACGTAATTGTTTACATTTTTCCTCATTAACATACGACTTCGCGCGGAGAAGGCATCACGCTAGACATTGACTGCAAACATTCAAAGAGCTTGTGAAACTTAGTAATTGGTCAAGTTTTTGGCTCTTTGGATGTAATATTCGAGGAGAAATTAAC